ACTTGACAGATAAGGCCTCTGTTCTGAATTTACATAGTTGTTAGAGGTCAGGTGATACTAAGTGAAAAAAGATAACTCTAAATAGGGAAACATTCTATGAAAAAAATAAATCAAGTGCTAGCTCAGAGAGTGGTAAGGGACTAAGTGTCAGGAAAAGGCTTCTCCAAGAAAGTAAAGCTTGAGTTGAAATCTGAATAGCAAGAACTGGCTATTAGAATGCCAATCAAAGAGAACGCCAGTGCAAATATCCCAGGGTCAGAATAAGTATGAGTGCTTAAGTCTTTATTCACAGAAATCTGTTACCATTAAGCAGTGAATCGGGGAACATCATTAGGTACCAGAAATACTGGTTTAAGTCTAGTTTAGGAATTATGGAAGTGCATGCTGATTTAGAAATATAGTACCTAATGCTCATAAATAGATCCATCTGGAGTATTGATAATAATTCCCATTCAAGTAGTAAAATGCAATAAATTAGGTCTAGAAGTCCCCAAAAAGATTTGATGTGAAAATTAAAATGTGATTTTCTAGAATTAATTTTCTAATCATGACAGCTATCAAATACTTTTCCTCTGGAAAGTAAAGTAATGCAAATATTAATTATCATGAAAGTTCTGTGAAAGGGAATCAAAAGTGAAGGATTGTTTTTCTAAACATATATTTAATGGGGAATATTGGGGAAGGGATGATCACTGAAAATAGGATCAAATGAAAGAAGGATTGGAAAACTAGGGCATATAAGCAGAGACAGATTTTTATAAGGTCAGCTGGAAAGCCAACACCCTGGATAGTAGCACCAATGGTAGCAGTCAGATACAGTAGCATCCACAGCCAGCCCACCCCCAGGACTCTGCTGAGCATGAACCAGCAGTCACTGCTCAAGGCATCTGACCCAGAAAGCACGTGACTGAGTATAATCACAATGTCACCACTGATGGGCAGAGAACAGACTCAGGGAAATCTGCTATGAGTCTAATAGTGTGGAGATCTTCCTCAGGAAGAGGAAGTCCATTTAAGAAGCAAGTGGAAGCCAGTTAAAGAATAATTCACACAGGTCTAATAGGATAAAATAGGCACAAATGAACATGTTAACAAGGAAGGTTGTGTTTTGTATTTTGGTAAGATATGGATTATCATAGCATTATAACAGATTATTTGACAGATAGGCATGGCAAATAGCTCCAGTCCCAAATCTAACTTGAAAGAGGTGCTAAATTGGATATAAGTGTAAAAATAACCACACTGCTGGGTACTCTTTCATCTTAAGAGGGGAAAAAACATGCTCAATTAAGTCATTTATGGAATGGAGTGTTCTGATTAAATCGATATCCTGCTTAGATAGGTTAGATTTCTAAATATGGTTGTCAATCTTTCTAAAGATATCAGCTAAGATCAGTGGGGGGGGGAGGGAAAGGAGAGGAAGGACTAGGGTCAAATAAGGGGGGGTGCAATTGTATGGGGAATACAACCAAAATGAAAATGCATACATTGTGCAAAAATGAAAAATGATGTAAGAATTATATAAAATATTAATTTAAAAAATCAGTGGAACAGAACAGACAGTCCTGAAGCAGATCTGTGTACCTGTGTACAAAATAAGTATATTATTAAAATGCTTCACAGTATCAACACACTATGTGCACTAAGAAATATGCAGCACAACAGAAGTTTGAGAGAAATCTAAGATATATCTTTTCTTCCTATATCCTCATGGATCTCCCATATCTACTTTGGAGACCCTTGTGCTCTCTGTCCACATGGACCACTGCTAGACAGCAACCATGACCTCTCGTAGGATAGGGCACATGACTGCCTTGCTCATCATCCAATCTCTTCTTCCTTTAGTCCTCAATAAGTGTCAGCGCTCCCCCAAGCCTTTTCCTTCTTAGGGGACTGACACAGGAATGGGAGATACAAGCTTCTCCATATATGGAAACAATCTCATTCTATAATCTCTTGTGGGCACTGAAGACAGCTTTTCTACCCAGCGACAGAATGACAAGCATTGGAGGCATAAAGGGAATCGCTTAGGCTAAGGTATATTTCCTGTGAAAGAAATAAACCCTCTAGGAAATGTCCCTTCAAGGAGGAATTTGAGGTATTTCCCCACTAACCATGCCACTGCAAGAATTTTTAAAGTTGAAGAGTAAATATTATACGAACACTGTAACCTTTTAGAAGTACAAATGCTTAAAAAAGTACACTGCCAAGCTGCTCAAATATTCTAAAACAATGAGCAGCTTGACATTTTTCAAACAAATATTTTAAAACTCAGGTCCACATGTGCACTGGAAATTAATGCCATTTGTTCAACAATAATAGACTTGATTCATATCCACTCTCATACATTGGATTAGATTTGCTGATTTCATTAAACCTTCAAAAGGTTACAGCTGGTTGACATAAAAAAAAAAATCTCCACACCTCTAGAAGAGTGAATTTTGTACCAGTCCCCTTTAAATATATATATATATATATATAAAATAAAAACCACTTCTTAGAAAGAAATGTGTAAAGTGTAGGGGCTCTGTTCTTTACTATCACTAGGCAATATATTCAAATTTTGGTTATCTAAAGATACACTAGCAAGGACACAGAAACAAGGTTATGAACTAACTTGGGACTGAGATGACAGATACCCTGGAACTCAGAAAACTGCCTGAGGGGACTTTGTGGGGCAGCCTGGAACCTGTGCTCTTCAAGCTAGGGTCACAGGATGCAAAATGGGGCATGAACGTTAATGAGTGACCCTCTGTACTCTTGTTGGTAGAGGGATATGTGGATCACACATAGGACTCTAGAATCAGAAGTAAAGCAACGTCAAATCCTATCATTTCTTCCCAAAGCACTAAAAAAAAAAAAAAAAAAAAAAACCTTCAAAAGTGATTCTACTTTGACTCACAGAGGGTTGTATAACTCCAGAGACTGAGACCAGGCTTTATATGCTTTATAAAGTTACTTGAGTCAGAATAAAGACTTCCTGACCATGCTAGAAACATATTATGATCAATGTGGGTTACATTAGGGCTTCCATAATCGTGACAGTAATTCCTACAGTAAGATCTTTAACAGCTACTAATGTATAAAAGCTTCCAGTCTAAAAGGTTTAGTGACACAAATAACTATCACATTGTCAAATCCTGAGTGATAATAAAAGTTCTGGAATTAACCCCAAAGTGCATTAAAGGCTACAGCTACTGTGCTCAGATACATATTTGAAAAATGTTAAAAAAAAGAAAAGAAAAAAGAATCACTACAACACTTCCCACAAGTGGCGGTGGTGTCCTAGAATGCCCTTTGTGTACTTATTTCCTTTGTGAAAGGAGACTTCAGATTCCTAGTTTCCTCCGTGGTTTCATTTTAACTTACACAAGCCAAGAGGATCTAATTTCCAGTTGTACAAGTTACTCAATTTTCCTGTGCCATGGTATCTTAACTAAAAAAGGAAGATAATAATAATACTTGAAGTATTATTTATTATGAGGATTGGTTGAATACATATGAGTCATGTAGGACAAAGCCTGGTCCATGGTGGTTAGTTATAAGATATTTGTATTATTTTAATTATTTCAGTGGTTTATAAAGGTTTATGACAATAGGTCCTTGCCATGTTATAGAGGGCACTTTTAAATTGTTGATAATTTACTTCCAGATTGTTTAGCTTTTCTATCTAAAGTTACAGCCTAGGGGTATGTCTTATTTCACACTGGCATATAATAGAGCTTTCCAAAGGGAGAGGATATAGGTAGGTCTGGAAAGCTAGCAGCTGACCCAGCTTTCTATGATTCAAACCACTGGACAGTATATGGATCTGGTGAGCACCTGCCAGAAAGCTAGATCAACAACAAATAATGTAATCTGAAGCCCTTTCAGACAGAGTTCAATCTGGTCAGATAAAAGCACATCAATGAGCTCTTGTAGCTTGGCTTCTTACCTATCTACAGCTCTGGCTCCAGGTGGTAACATAGAGTTATATTCAAAGTTACTGCCTGAAGCACAGGCAAAATCCAAAGGAAAGAGATGACAAGAGGCATTAGGGTGGGGTTTCTCCAAGTGTGGTCTTGAGAGCACCAGCATCAGACTTGTCTGTGACATCAGTACCAATGCAGGCTCCTGGGCCCCGCCTCATCCTACTGAATCTGAATCTAAGCCTGGGTTCCAGGAAACTATGTTGTTATTAAGCATCCAGATGATTTCTGTGCATGTTGAATTTTGAGTTGCTCTCCAGGAAATCTGGCTCAGGTTATTGTCTCGGCCACATGTCAGTGCTGTTAGTGGTGGATCTCTTACGTCAGCTAGAGCAACTGTATGTAAGTTGATGTTTGGCGTACATGTTTTACACCCCAAGGTCCTTTTCATCTGCTTCATTTGTGCTTCCCACCCCAGCCCCAGAGAACCCAACTCTATAAGTAATGCTAGGACCAAAGGAGCTAGGTATGAGCAGAGCTATCACCCTGAGAACTTAGCTCCAAGATTATTGCCTTTGTAAGATTCCTTCTTAACATGGCTTCTGGCAAGATTATAAAGTTTCCATTTAAAGAAAAATTATAGAGGTCTAGGATAAGATAGTAAAGTTTGCAAAAAAAAAAAAAACCCACAACCACAAAAGCCCTCTGTCTTATAGGAGTGAAAGAAGACAATGAAATATATAAAATGTACCAAATAATTGCTTTTTGTGGTTTACTGGTGAAATCAACTTAGGCAGTCTTTGGAAGGACCATGCAATTTCAGGTTCTACTAACAAGAGCAATCAATTGCGTCTCTAAATTATAAATCAGTATTTACCTTTCTCGGTTATTTAGACTTTATAAAATAAACTAATCTCCTATAGAGAAAAAAAAAGGAATAAGTATAAGGATAATAAAGCATTCTAGCACATACAGGATTATTAGAGAAATTCAGTATTTCAATAGTAGCTGGGATGGCTAAACACCTTCCTCTTTCAATGTTACCTGCCTTACTCTATTAGTTCAGTTTTCTGTTATTTCTGTATTTTTAAATATAAAAGTGACTACATTTGATCCATAGGCATGAAAAGGGGATACAGTGAGACACAATGTATGTAAAGATGAGAAAATGTGCTACCCTGCTACTGTGAGGGGCAAGGGAGGATCACAAACTTTCGTTCCAATCGCTTGAGCATGCGGGTTCTCAGACATGCTCTTGACACCCCTAGTAGGGACAGGAAAACATCACTTCTGGCAGAAGAGGATTAGGGGACCTGAAGTGGCTTGGCAAATTTTCTAGGGTTACACACACACTAAAAGAGAAACCCTCAGTCCTGAGCCCACTCAATCAACTCTATCGACTCAACCCCATACTGATGCTCAATAACACTTCAATAGTACAAATAGCAATCATGTCGTCTAGCGTTAAGATGCACTGTCACGCTTAGGACAGGCGCCTACGAAGAAAGAGCTCTTTGGAGACTGTGAACTGGGATGGAATATGGGCAGCTGAAAGTCTGAGGCTGATTGAAATGCACGCCAATCAGGACAAAAAAGATTACAGAAACTAGGGGCCCAGGCAAATTCAGCTGAGCTCTGGAATGCAAATAAAGTTTACAAATGGGAAAGATATCAAGGTTATAATAGTAAGAGTGCAAGGCCAGCACAAGTTCAGCCAATCCCAGCAGCTTGTTAAAAGCAACTCTCCCACCCTCACTGAATGTGCTTCCTGATTTCAAAGTTACATAACTTTGCAGCAGCCCCACACTCCATCCATTACCCACATTCCAGCCAGCTAATTACCAAGCGCCAGACATACTTCTAGGGGAGAGGGCTGAGAGCAATTTTGTAAGTCCCTGTGTTTTCATTAATGTGAATTTCTCAGTTTTTCTAGGTCAGAGAAACACTGGGTGATTACAAGCTCTTTCTTGCATGCAGGGGTGGGGGAAGCAAGCTGGCTCATTATAAGGAATTAATGGCAGTTCCCAAGATTTGGGAAAGAAGTTGCAGTGTTCAAAAGAATGCAAAAGGTGTTTTTACAAAGTAAAGTAAATTGATAGAATGTTTTCTATCTTTAGGAATCAATCAAGAGATCTTGTAAAGTGCTCTGAGGATTAAATTACTACAGAAGACTAACTCTGGTAATAAGAGGTGAATGAGTAGATAGGACTTCAACTCCATGTACTCTTTCCAAAGTACGATGAGAGAACGTAGAAAAACATTTTATAGTATTCATTCATTCAGCAAATATTAGAAGAGCCTGTTCTATCCCAGAAACCAAGGTGGGCTCAAGAAATATAGAAGCCAAGTTTCTTCCTCTGCCCTTCATAAACCATATGTCCATTTCTCATCATTCCACTTGTGAGCTACACAGGGATATTTATGTGCCTTCTCTACTAGATTTTTAGCTAGTCAGTGAAAGAATATGTAAAAGAGGGGAAATAAGATAGAAGGGAGGGAAGGAGAAATGGTGTGGGATACTTCCTGTCGAAGAGCACATAATCCAGTTTGCTGTGAAAGTCAGGGTGGTCTGGAGTTTGGTAAAAAAAAAAAAAAAGGGGCCATGGAGAACTGCTGGTTTTCTCTTTCCTCTTTGTGAGCTTACTCCTTCATATGGGAACAATCCTAACCTTTGGCTGATAAACCATAATTTGTATATGGATGCCTAAGAGAATCACATTTATTTTTAAGTAGAAAATATTTCCAAAAAAACCATTTTGCAGATTTGTTTTCAATATATTAATTACCTTTCATGTATTTAGAATATGACACTGTCAGGGAACAATGATAGGGGCATGCAAAACAGGGCAGGGCAGGAAAAATAATATTTAGAAAAGTAGAATCCATGTTTCAGGACAGCCAGGTTAAAAGCATTTATTATGATAACAGAGTCACATTCTCATTACATTCTCACTTGGCATCCCTGAAAAGAATATTAGTGTTAAAAGTTAAGACATCTGAAAATATCAAACACTGGGGAGAACAGGAAACAACCAGAACTCTTACGTACTTCTGGTGGGAATGTAAATTGGCACCACCTCACTGCAAACAATTTAGCATTACCTAGCAAAGCCAAATGAATATGTGTGAACCCCACGACCCAGAAATTCCACCCTAGGTATATTCCCTAGAGCAATTCTTGCATGTCTGTGCCAGGAGACATGGACAAAACATGCTCATAAGCAGCACTGTTTGAAACAGCAAAAACTGGAAACAACCCAAAAGTCCATCAACAGTCAGATGAGGAGGTAAGTTGTGGCACATTCACATAATAAAGTATTATAAAATGTGAAAATAAATGAAGTACAGCTGCATACAGCAAAATGGATGCTATTTTTTAAAAAAGTAATTGTAGGAGCCTATGATTAAAATAGTTTTGTGAATACTTTTCATAAAAGCAAAACTATGTAATAAATTGTTTAGAGATACATATACGGGAAAACTATTAAAAACATAAAGAAATTCAGATGAGCATCTTCAGGGTGAGAGGACACAAGGAGAGGAACCTAGCCAAGGCAGACTCATTAGGACTAGTGATCTTAGTTTGAGAGGTGAGTTTATAGATGATAATTTCATTATTAGGTTTCATAATTTACATATATTACATATATTCTGTTGTATATAATAACTATCACATATATAAAAGCTTTAAAATTCTCAGATATCCTATGATGGAATACTATACAGCCATTAAAATGAATTAATCAGATCTATAAGTACTGATATGAAAAAGTATCAAGAAATTGTTTAGATTAACCCAAAAGAAAGTCACAGAAAAATAATATAATACAATTCCACTTCTGAAACAAGTAAGCAAAGAAGCCAAAAGCTCATAAAGCTGTAAGATAAGTATATATTTGTATTGGACACCTTCTGTTTGCCCCTCCAGCCTACCATTGACCCTTCTCCACCCTGCTTTTTCTCCAAGGAGGCTAACCTACATGAACTAAATCAATAGGTTTGCTGGTTTCCGGTTTCTTAAAGGGTTCTGCAGCATCTTTTTGTGTCCAGGTTTCCATAACAACTCTCTTTCAGGTTTAGGTGCAATAAACATTATCTTTTGTAGTTTCCCTCCACCCTCCCCATATCTTGTCAATAGTTCCTTTAATAAATTCAACTTAAATCATCCTAATTTGAATGCACCATCTGTTTCCTACTAGGACTTCAACTGATAGAATTATATGTCATATGAAAGCATAGAAAATGACTACAAATATACACAAGAAAAATTATCAATGGTGAGAAGCTAGAATTAGAAGGAAACATTGATGTTCTGGTCTTCATCTTTCTGTATTATAGAACTTATTCCTAAGAGACAATAGTTATTTCTTTCTTTTTTTTTTTTTTTGGCAAAACAAATTTTCAATGGTACTTAAAAAAGGAATAATTTTTTAAATGCATGGCTGGAACAAACCAGGTCCTTTCATTTCTCCATCTCCGATGCCTATCACAGTGCCTGCCGTAGGGACTGACAAGGAATTCTGATACTTAAGCCAGTGAACCTCAAATTTTCATAAGCAAGGTTAGTTTCAATAGGGTTAAGTAGTAAGAAAGGAGGGATAAAACTATAGGCCAATCTCCCTAATGAACACTGATGCAAAAATCCTCAATAAAATTTTAGCTATCAGAATCCAACAATGTATCCATAAGATAATTCACCACGACCAAGTTGGATTCATTCCAGGGGCACAAGGATGGTTTAACATCCGAAAATCAATCAACGTTATCCAACACATCAACAAAAAGAAATATAAAAACCATATGATAATATCAATAGATGCTGAGAAAGCTTTCGACAAAGTGCAACACCCATTCATGATAAAAGCCCTTGAAATTCTTGGGATACAAGGAACATACCTCAACATCATAAAGGCCATCTATGACAAGCCAACAGCCAGTATCATTCTCAATGGTGAAAAGCTGAAAGCAATTCCATTAAGATCTGGAACAAGACAAGGATGTCCACTCTCACCACTGCTTTTCAATATAATACTGGAAGTCCTAGCCAGAGCAATAAGACAAGAGAAAGACATCCAAGGAATCCAAATAGGAAAAGAAGAAGTCAAACTATCACTATTTGCAGATGATATGATAATATACATAGAGAACCCCAAAATCTCCACAGAAAAACTAATTCAACTCATCAATCAATTCAGTAAAGTGGCAGGATACAAAATCAACATGCAAAAGTCAGTAGCCTTCCTATACACAAACAATAAATCTGAAGAAGAAGAAATCAAAAAAACCACCCCTTTTATTATCGAAACAAAAAAAATCAAATATTTGGGAATAAATCTAACAAAAGAGGTAAAGGACCTATACAAAGAAAACTATAAAACACTGTTAAAAGAAATAGAAGAAGA